TAATACTGGATCAATAAGAGATGATCCTTACTGGACCTCTAGGAAGAACAGTTTAGAACTGATAGAACTATCCAGTATAAATAAAATTAGTTTAGTTTGGGTTTCCTTCTGTAGTAACACTGGATCAATAAGAGATGATCCTTACTGGACCTCTAGGAAGAACAGTTTAGAACTGATAGAGCTATCTAGTGTAGATAGAGTTAGTTTAGTTTAGGTTTCCTCCTGTAGTAATATTGGATCAATAAGAGATAATCCTTAGTGGACCTCTAGGAAGAACAGTTTAGAACTGATAGAGCTATCCATTATAAATAAAGTTAGTTTAGTTTAGGTTTCCTCCTGTAGTAACACTGGATCGATAAGAGATGGTCCTTACTGGTACTTACTTGTGTGATGAGTTAATACCATCTTTGTTGTTAGGGTTTAAAATTCAACTATGACCGTATGATTGTGAACACGCTGAAGTCACACTGCCTGTTGGATTATGCAAAGTCAGTTGGCAAACAAAATGAAATGGCCGAGATCCTGTTCAACGACTATTTCCGTCATGCAAAGAGAATTGACCAATCAGCTGTCCTGAAAGAAGCTGCCGAGGCCTGCCATATTGACTGGTCAGCAGCTGATACCCACATGAATAACGCCGAGATTGCATCACGTGTGAAAAGAGAAGCTGGGACAGCTAGTGCCAGTGGTATAAACGGAGTTCCACATTTTAATATATTCCTCAAGTCAAATCAGGCTAGGTCCCAGCAATTCTCAGGCGCTCAACCTGCGGCCACAATATTAAGTGTGTTTCAGAAAGTACTGAGCTTTGCCAAATCCAGGGTGTAAGATTTTTAAATGATTAGTTTACTAGATGAACTCAGTTTAGACTGCCATATTTATGAATACCTATATATAAAGTAGAATATGGACTATGAAGAACTATGGTTTGGACTGCTATGAAAAACTATGGTATATTTGTGTTTGTATGAAGACTTTGATTGTAAAACTATTTTGATCAAGTCGGATGATGTGAACAAGAGTTGCCAAGTTTTGAATTAAATGTCTTAACCATTATGTCATCAGTGTTGTTTTGATCGAGTGATGATTTCACTCTATTTCTTGCGTTCTATGTAATTCACAGTTGACAGTTCCGTTTTATTATCACAGTTCCATTGAAAATGATGCGTGAAATAGAATCGAAACGTTGTAAAATAAAACTTATATCGCTAGTATTTGTTTAAAAATTAATTCACAAGGATCGAATATATTTCTAATTCCCGTCGGCGTATTAAGAGGATTTCAGACAAAAATGATGTAATTTACTTTATGTTCCATATTATTATAAACCTCTGGAGAAACTTTTTTTCAGTGGTTTTGCATGGTTTCTTGAACAGGTGACTTTTCAAATCCTTGCAGATTCGCATACTAGACAACTCATTTCATTTTTTATGACTACATTAATGTATTAAAACAACTAAATCTATTGTACTAATATAGAAAACTGGAAGTCGATATAGTATCCTTTTGAATTAAGTGAGCCAATTTTGAAATCAGATAGGGCTGGCTCTAAAGGGTGGGGAACCACCCCCCCCCCCCCCCCCCC